ACACACACACACACACACACACACACACACACACACACACACACACACACACACACACACACACACACACACACACACACGCACGCACGCACGCACGCAGGATGTGAGCGTGGAAGCCATGTCAAGGACCACCACTGGCGATGATGACGATGAGGACGCTGGGGAGGGCGCGTGCGAGTTATGTTTGTGTACCACCCGACGCCTCACACGGTATTCCAGCCCATAACGCCTCGCCCCCTCTTGTCGTCTTGCTATCTTGTGTTGCTTGGCTTAGCTAATCTTTTTGTAATGCTCATCATGGCGTGATGCATGCAGCCATGACGCTAGCCGCCGTGCTATCATTCATCCGCCACACAACTCAAATCAACTTGATTCACACACACACACACACACACACACACACACACACACTCCACAGACACCATCTCATCCCTAAACTGATGCACAACGCATATCGTCGGCGAGGGTTCACGCGGGCAGAGCTGGCGCAAACCACGTCCATCTGTCGCCCTTGTCACAATGCCGTGCACAGAGCAGAGCCGCACGCCAGCCTGGCAGCAAAGTACGCGATACATGCTCTGTGTGTGTGTGTGTGTGTGTGTGCTTGAGTGTGAGAAGAGTGCCACGACACCAGCAATGTCATGAGCATAACACACACACACATACACACACAACACACACGCGCACGCATATGCATATGCACACACACACACACGCACGCACGCATATGCACACAGCCATGCATGCGCTCACGTGGGCCGTGTTTCGTTGAGTCTGTACATGCATATCTTCACACGGTATTCCCTTGCCCCATGCCACACAACACGGCCACCTCCAGCTACAACACTGCGGAGAAGCTGCGGGAGCACCCTGAGATTGCAAAGTGGGTCGAGTTTGCGGCAACACAGCGCAAGGGCGGTCGATGGGACCACGCCGTGATGGTGTCGGATACCCAATACGCAAAGGCAAAGCGAAGAATGAAGGCACAATGACGTGATGATGATTGTTGTGAGTGCAAGCGTGTTGGTGACACTGGATGATGGTCAAGACTAATGTAAAATAAAGGAAGCCCTCCTCCACTCATCAAGCAATAAGGGAATGGATTGAGGAGGGGGCCTGATGTCGGGGACTCCCTCACACGAACGCACACACACACACACACACACACACACACACACACACACACACACACACACACACACACACACACACACACACACACACACACACACACACACACACACCTCTGTATCCTCTTAATCTTGGGTCTCATTGTTGTGGTTTGGCGGGGCAGAAGAGACATGCTCATTGGGCTTGAGGACGTTCACCCCCTGCACGTAGTGGAGGTAGGCATGGATGCCCACGCCACACGCCATCACCGCCGTCGCTGCCCACATGCCAATGGACGGCCCACCGCCTCGCGCTGACGCCTTCCTCATCTCCGATGTTGAAATTTGGTGAAAGAGACAGTCAATCGTCGACTGTGTTGTGGTGCATGCGTGTGTGTGTGTGTGTGTGTGTGTGTGCGTGTGTCTGTGTGTGTGTGTGTGTGTGTGTGTGTGTGTGTGTGTGTGTGTGTGTGTGTGTGTGTGTGTGTGTGTGTGTG